CCCCAGGGCTTTACCGTATTAACAGGAGAAGAGGGGCAAGTGAAATTAGACACTGTCGTCTGTCAACACACGGTACTTTATAAATGTTTTAATTCAGGTTGGGTCCGGATCCAGTCCGCTAATCCGTGACCTCTGGTCTAGACTATTTCATAGTAAATTTGAGTGTTCTTAACAGTATTGAAAGTTTCCGGATATATGAGATTAAAAATGAAAGCAGAGTTGAACTCACTGCGTCTCGAGAAGAGCTTCCCAGCTTCTCAGAAAAGTCCTCTCCACAGTAACGAGCAAACATGACCAGACCCATGACACAGCTGAGAGCCAGAGCCAGCTGAAGGGAAGGAAACACCATGTAGCACGACCTGCAAACACAGAGAACCACAGTGAAAAATGTGACTCAAACCCTCCACAAAACTTCAATCACTCTTTAATACCAGAAAAACAGTGGCTGTATGAAGGTTATTTTCAAATTATTGATAGTCCAACATGAAAAGACTCAGGAAGGAAGGATGTTTTCCTGCTTTTTAGAAATTGAAGGAGCATATCAAAATGATTATCAGTTGTTCTTGGGCTCCAGCATGAAGTTTAGCCCATCCCTTTTCACAAAGTCTGTTATTCTGATTTCCATAGTCATTACAACTAGTGGGTTTTTAACTGTATGGGTTTCCCAGCTCAGTGAGATTTTCCACCATCAGGATCAAATTAATTCCTTTTCTGGGTCTGTCATCTTTTAAAAGTGGTGATTCATCCAAATCTTCTAATATTTTAATTGCTATCAAAGCTTTATTTCTATATCTGTTTAAAAACACTGAGAATGTCCTCTGCAGAGGTATATGTTCACTTAAAATCTTACATTATTTTTCCATCAACGCTGCCCAGAAGTTGAATTTTCTTAACTTCAATTGATCCAATCGGCTCTCCTTGCCTTTATAAGTTTTCCCAGTCTTTTCTTCCATCAGTGATAGACTCATTTATCACCAGTGAAAATAGGAAGGGTTGTGGGTTTAATTCTCAGGTGTCAGAAGTGGTGCTTCTGTCCTCCTATAGCTTTCTGTGGCTCAAATAACAATTTACAAACTCATAGATCTTAAATTTTTGATTCTTTTATGAAAACTTCTCCTCTCTTCTGCAGGGATCCATCGCTCCATGGCAGAGTCTCCCTTCACTGTTTTATCTTCTTTTATTAGAAGGTCCATGTGGATTTTAAAAGCTTCCACATTCACACCTAAGACCGGGAAGTCCTTTGCCATCCGTCCGCTTTCTTCGGCCTCCAGGACAGCTGCCGACACGTCATGCCGACCGTCTCTGGACCACAAATCATCCTCGACAGTTTGTCTTTCATGTTTAAATTTATCTTCACCATATTTTGCCTTTTTAATCGATGTCCTCGTGCTGTTAGAGACCTGGTGGCTCTCCATATGTTGCTTCAGTGACAATAGTGACATTTGATTCAAACTGCTCTCTAAGATATTTGGACCACTTATTAAACTCTTGCATTAGTTCCCCTTGATCCATTGCATTTGCATCTCTTATGATTTTGTTGGCTTGAAGAGTGAAAAGGCTCTTGGCAACTGCTTGACTTCTGCCATTTTGTCTGTGCAACCACAGTATATAGGTTAGTGAAGCCGTTTATCTTTACACCACACTAGGTTTTCAACTGTGAAGTTTATTTTCGACACAATGCTAGCACAACTTGAAAAGTAGGGGTGTAAATCACATCCATGATGGCGATTCGATTCAGTATCGATTTCCTGACCCAACGATTCGATTATTTCCGATACTCAAGAATACACCACAATACGATTAATCGGTTAGTTTTTTTTATTATTTTTTATTTTTTTACACCTTACAGGCTAAACAAAGTTTCAAGTTTGAAATAAATCAATGAAAGCTGTAATAT